GTAATGAAGCTAATATTGGTATACTTGGTTTTTGATTATCTTTTTGTAAACGAAATTTATAATGACATTCATGACATAATTTTTGTAAAATATATTTACAACAATCACGTAATGTTAATTCAATTTCATCTTGATCTATAAAATAATATCAAATAAATAAAGAATTGAAACATTTATTTTTTTTTACCTGCTGATGTATCATCATGTATAAAACTTAGAATAAATTGAATTATTTGAAATGCATCCGTTCGAATTCTTATAAGACCAGATATAAATTCATCAGTTAATCTGTAAGAAAAAATTTAAAACAAATAATCTTTTTAACAAAAATATTTTACTGTTCAATATCTATTGTTTTTGTTTGTCTTATTGATGAACACAAACGACGTAAACTAAGTGAATTAAGAGATCTATAAAGTGAATAATAAACAATATCACATAATGGACCAGTAACAACAGCTGATGCCATTCGTATTAATGAAACAATTGAAACATGTTTTTGACTATCATCACTTGTTAATAATAACTAATTAATAAAAAAGAAAATATTTATTATTCATATCTCTATCTTTTTTTTTTGAATATTAAAACTAAACTTGAATTTGTTCCATTAATACTTGATGAAATATTTGTGGTTCTTGTGTAGCAATAACTTCAAGTGATGACCAAACAGCAAATATTCTTTCAATACCATGTAACATTTGTGATTGATTTTTTTCTTGTAAACTTAATTGAATTAATCGGGATATAAGTGTTTGACCACATCGTAAACTAAATATATAAAATAAAGACGTACAAATACAAAAAAAAAAAGAAAAATCTTCTTACCTTAAAGATACTGTAACCCAATCGAATTCAGGTCGAATAAGTGTTGACGCTTCAAGATATTTATTCAATGCATTATCTGCTGCTGTTGTACTGAAAACAGAAAAGAAAAGAAAATTCATAAATTCATAAATTTTGATATATACTCATGTAAAATACATGTTGAACATATTTTAATTAATGTCATTGCCGCTTGACATTGTGTCCATAATTGAATTCGATCTTCAAGTGTTTTACATTTTTTAATAACTGATTCATTAGTATATCGTATTGTTAAATTAAACAATTGATCAATTGACCACTATAAAATATTTACAAAATAACTTTCGTTTTTAAGATTTTCTGTAATTATTTCTTAAAAATTTATTTTCTATTTAATCAATTTCTGGTCTGTCCTTGATTATACTTATCGAAAAAAAAAATTAGCACAAGATATTCACTCATTTTTCGGTCACTTAAAGACAACTGATTAGAGCTAGAAGCAGTTACCTTCAATCCATTCTAATATATATTTAGAATTTCTTGCTGACAAAAGATTGAACAACTATTATCAGATTGTTTCAAAAAGCGTAATAATAGTGTTTGTAGAGAATACTATTTTGATCAATATTGTAGTTCGGTTGAAACTTATCAAACTCAAAATATGAAACAATTTTTCATGTCTCAGTTTGCTTTACAAAACCGCAATATTTACTTTTGCATGATAGATTTTAAAGTTTTGTATTTCTAAAAGCAGTTTTTGAAAAAATGATTTTTTGGCAAATGCCGATTTCTATAGAAACTAGCTATTAACGTATACATAAGATTTCGCTTTTTGCAAAATATCTCATGTTGACACAATCTTATAGTCTATAATGTTAAGTTGAAGTTAGTCCAAGATGCAAACTAGGGATTGCGCCGAGCTGCTATTGTACTTTGTAAAGATATCATTTTGGAATTTTTTTACAAAATTTGCTGATCATTGTCTAATCTTGCTCGATAAGGAAAATCTTGACATGTATTCGGAAAAACAGAAAAATTCTGATTCTAACGATCTGCGTTTGGTTCTAACCAATTTTCTTTTAGTGATCAAACAATGAGTGAATATTTTGTGTCAATACGTTCACGCTAAAGATTTAGTTCTTCAGCATGATTTCACTCTGGACTGAAACAATTGATTGATTGGATGAAACAGTATGTTGAACACTATCGATTTCTGTTTTCTTTGCATACGTTCATTCAATAAAAAGCCCCAAACTCCGTTTCGTTTTCAAAATGTGCTGTACTGAAAAATTTTTCAAATAATCCCGAGTGCTTCTAAAATGGGACAAATGAGATTTATCGGAATTCAGAGCTGTCCCACAGGGCTCTAAATAGTATCGAATTTTTCTACTGATTTCTATTTGAATACAACTTCAGACTAATCCAATCCGAGACAAACATTTCAAATTCATAATATGAATTTATTTCAAAAGTAAATCTTCGTCTTGCTTTTGTTTTGCTTAAACTTACTTGAGCGAGAATATTTGCCCAACTATTTGATTGTATAGCTAATGAAATTAATTTTGTTTCAATTGTTGTTAATAAATCACTAACACCTTTAAAATGACAAACAAAGATATTAAAATTTTTTTTTTATCTAATAAAAATTATATGTATTACTTGTTATTAACGATTCATTTTGAATAAAACAATGTACACTAATATTAATTAATGAATTAAAATAATCAAAAATAGCTTCACGTGCTGATGGAATTGTTGTTAATAAGTTTAAACAAATCGAACATGTACGTTCAAGATTAGCTGGAATTGTTAATGTACGATAATCTGCTGAATGACGAATAAAAAATGCAAAATCTTGTGATAATTGATCTGATGATGACATCTTTAAATAAACTGAAAAAAAAATTATTTTATTAATCAAAACAAATATATTTATTATATAGATATTTCTTGGTTTCTTTTTGCTTTTTTGTATTCTCACTAAATTGTAGACGAAAAAAAAAATATGTATATAAGATAAACAAGCTCATCCATACAATAGATTAAAAGATACAATTACGTTTTCGAATAGCTAAATGTCCATCATATAAAAGTGAAAGACTAACACGATGTTTAATATTTGTTCCTGAACGTCGTATAAGTAAATCATTACGACCAACGGTTAAAACAAGTGCAGGAACAATTTCAAGATCATCAAAAACTAAAAGTATTGGTGAATTACGTGAAAACCATGCACGTTGATACCATAAACGACCTTCTTCAATACGAACATCAATATGAGATTTTGTTGATAAATCATCAATTTTAGGTTTAGATGAGTTTTTTTCAATGTTACACTCATTATTACAAAGACCATTTTGAACATCTTTTATATCTTGTTCAATATCTGTACTTGATAAAGAACGTTGTAATTCAATACCACCAAATGGTGGTAATAAAGAATTACTTCTACTGAATATAGATAAATCTTTTAATGATGTTGGCGTTGTTGTTGTTGAAGAGTTTTCGGAAATTGAATCATTTACTACTGCTCGTCTTAGATTATATGTGGGACGTTGTTGTTGTTGTTGTTGTTGCTGCTGTTGCTGAGTCGATTCATTTGAATGATGATTATATCCATCAAAAAGGATAATATCATTTGTAATATTTGTTTTATTCAACATATATTGATCAAAATTTGAAAAATGACGACAACGAATATTTACATTTTGATATTCAAAATCTAAATAACGACGTTTATCATTATATGTTGATAATAATTTTGATTTAAAATCATTTTTTTTTGTTTGAAATGTTACATCAGTTTGTCGTAATTCATATGCATACATATGTTCAATTGTATGAGATCGATAAAAATGCCAGAGATTTAAAGTATTTACCTTAAATATAAATAATAGAGCAAAATATTCTTTCCTACAATAAAAAAATAATTTATCAGAAAAATACAGATACTCAAAATACATGAATACTCAATGATTTTAATAAAATTTTCGCAACAGATTTCATAACAGGTTTGACATTTGTGGAGAGAATTTTGATTATGACTCTCATATTGAAGATATACTACAAGCTCACTATAGCTATTTTCACATTCCTCAGTGATGACATCGGATTTTATCTAATATTTCTTTATTATCTTTACAAATAATTTTACGAAATTTGAAATTTTATATAACGATAATCAAGAGAGAAGCTTCTTTCTATAAAGCTACGTATTTACATGCATATGAAACAATTATACATAACAGAAAATGTTTCGCATTTTTGTTTAGAAAACTGAATTAGAAATGTAGCAATTTTTGATTTCTAGAATTACAAGTAATGTAGCAATTTTACATTGATAGAAACAAAGATACGACGTAGAGGTGTGCAAATTTACTCTGTCCTACCCTTTAGGATAGAATATGATAATGAGAGAGATTTTTCAAGATGGGGTGAGGTTAAGCAAATGTTTCTCACTCACAGTACGACAACAGATGACCTTTTACATCTCTAATACGAAATCTATTTTCTGAGAAGAACTAATTTACCTTAATAATTCAATCACATTAGTTTTGATTAAAATCAATAATATTGACTAATATTCAACTTTTTAATAAAGTTTTTTCGAATTGTATCTCTACCTTTCTTTGTTCATCTTTTAAACTGAAATTTTTATCAAATTAGAATTATTTCATTAGTGTAAAATAAACGTAGAAAAAAATTTTTCGAAACGTAAATTTCGTATTCTTTCATACCTGTTTATCATACAATCTTAATAATTGATTTAAACGTTTTTTATATTGCACATAATGTTCATCATTGTCACTGGTTTGTTTTTCAGTAAGAAGATTACTTGTTGTATAAGCTATATCTCGTTGTGTTAAATTTTTTAATTCTTCTCGTAAATGTTTTAAACGTTTTTCAATCAGTTTTAATGATATTTTTCTATTTGATAATTTATTCGATGTTGCATTAGACGAATGTTCTATGGATTCAATTGAGCACATAATAAATATTCACACTTTTACTTTTTCTTTTAAAAATAAACAAAACTTATCATCTAGAATAAAACAAAGAACCAAAATACTATCAAATCACTAAACAAAACAAAAGAAGAACGGAAAGTACTATATTACAAAAAAAAAACATAAGGTTTTTTTCTTTTCAATACGACATATACATTTAATCAATAATAACGCATGAAACTAAAGTTATTTTCGACTACTTGATATTAATCTTAAATCATCTTCACATTCATCATCTTTAACAGTCCATTTTGGTAATTGAAATATACTAAATGCTCCAACAAGACGTTTTCGTGCTGCTTGTTGATGTGGCATAGGTGATAATATTCCACTTGTACCAATATTATTCATTGTTAATAATGTTGAAAATTCATCATCATTTATATTTGATGATGATGTTTGTTGTCCCATATCAGGTCGTTGTCGAAAATTATATGCTTTAGCTTGTAATGGATGTGGTGGTTGCATAGTAACAAGTAATGGATCAACATCAAATGAACGGGAATGTATATCAATAGCTGAACGCATTTCATCAACAACTAATTTACGTTTTCGTCGAAGACGATCAAGTAAAAGTTCTTTTAATTCACTTTTTTTTGCAGCAAAATGTGCTCGTGTACAACGGGTTTCTAAATCAAAACGACGATCAATACGTTCTTCTTCAATTTTATAGCGAGCTTTTAATTGTAAACAATTATAATGATAAGTTTCAAGTAATGATTTTAAACGATTTGAATCAATTAATGAAGAATTTGGGTGTTGTTGTTGTTCAAGTGCTGCTAACTGACCGTATAAATTAACTAAATGAGAATCAATTATTGATGATGATAAACGATGATTATGACGACGTTGTTGTCTTTGTTGTTGCATAGTATTGCTATTTAATGAATGAAGTGGTAAATCAGATGTTAATGTAGAATTGGATTGAACTAATGAAGATCTATTCATTCTATTAGTTAAATAAAATATATCATTGACAAGTATCCATAAACAAGAAGAAAAAAAAGAAAAGAACACAACACAACTAGCAAATTTTGTCTCCAATGGATAGTTTTAATTATCCAATCAAAACTTTTTTATGTTGAAACACAATGTGACATCTATACAATTGATACTTCTGAACAATATCAGTTTTAGTTGATGTTATTTAGGAAACCGAAAGCAAAAGTTATTAATGTATAAACATATTTATATGCGATTCAATAAAATTACAAACTTCAACTGCATCCTTACACTGAAAAATGTCTTGTGTTCTTGTTAGTGTATAAAACACAGATTTGATCTGCGTCAATTGAAAATAGATCAATATTAGCGAACACATATCTTCTGATAATATAAACAATGAAATAATAACATCAACTTATGTGATATTTTAAATAACGAATTACATTATTATTGAGCCATTCTGTTATCCAGGATGTTGACTAGGGCATCAAAAACTGGAAAAAATTTACTTTACTCGCCACCTCTGGTTTGTTTTTCGGATTTTATACTTTCTAAGGGATTCTTAGGTGCTGAAGACGATAGAACAGAAGAGAAAACTTGGCAGTCAGTGACACACAGCCTATTCTAGAACTCTTTTCTCAAATTTTTATAATACTGAAATTTTCTCTGATTTTTGTTTGTGATAATTCTTTCAGATATGCCACTGAATATTTGGACTTCTGTCTTCTCTTCCTCTCTTTCGATGTTCCATCACCAACCTGAACAGAATTACAACATCGCCAGCGAATTCCATCGATCCTAAAAAATGCTAAATATATATAAAGCAAACAATATCAACTAAAATATGATAGTTTACTGTGAAGAATCTGAATGAAGAGTCAATAGGCGGGTACTTGGAGGGCACATGTAATCCGATGCCTTCGGAATCAGCTGCCACTCTTGTAGTTGTTGAATGGATGCTGGGACGTCTCTCTCTTCACTTTCACTCAAGTTGAGAATGGTTCGAATGTTCAGAGGAATATCTGAAAGAATTATCAGAAACAAAAATCAGAGCAAATTTCAGTATTACAAAAAATTTGAGAAAAGAGTTCTAGAATAGGCTATGTGTCGCTGACTGCCAAGTTTTCTCTTCTGTTCTATTGTTTTCAGCAGCTAAGAATCCGTTAGAAAGCATAAAATCCAAAAAACCGGAGGTGGTCAGTAAGGTAAACTTATACCCAAAAACTTATCGTAACAGAAAAAGGAGGCCTTCCAGATTGAGTACCTAGGATGACCTTTTTATTGCATTTTTGACGAGAATAAAATCTTATCTGCATATGAGATATGATGTTAAATATTATAGACATAATCTTTATACAAAAATCATTTACAACATAACCATCTAACTAAACTTTATTTCGTGATTTCCAGCAGAAATGAAATGAAAAATAAAATAAAAAAATACTCGACATTCATGAGATGAACGAAAAAAAGTCATAAAACAGACATATGGAGACAAGATTCAAAATGTAATCAATATAAACAGATGAACAACGAGAATAAGTTTTATTTTTATTTCTTTTTATTGAATTTCTCGTATGAACGAATAAATAATATAGTATTACTTGAACTTGGTTATAAACGTGTTCGTCTTTGTGTAAATGTTAAGTCAACTAAGCTAAATATTCTTTCCATAAAAGGATCAATTGCTTGTATGGCATGTCCTATTCCTGCTACTACTGATTAGAATGAAAAATCACTAGAAGTTTCACTGCTAAGTCAGAACTTCGTTGGATCACGATCAATTAGGTTACTTTTGTTTTTTGTGGGACGCACGTGCCATGATATTCTCTGTTATTTAATAAGTAAGTTCAGATAGTTTTCATGTTAAGCAGAATTTGAGTATGAAGACAATAGTTCTCGCAGGCATTTTTATCAATATATGCATGCGTCAACTAATCGAAGCAAAGATACCTTTAATTCTTTATTTTTATAGTAAAAATTAAATTATATCAATTTTTGTTCATCTGTTTTGCTTTATATATTTGAAAAACATATTTCTATTATTGCAATCATTAACAAATTTTAAACGATATTCGACTATTGGATGTATTCAATGTTATATGTCCATCTCTACTTCAATCGTATTCTTTCTGGCTATACAAAGAATACTGTATTAGTAGTTATGCTCTTTGTAAATCGACCACCTGATGATGTCAACACAAGCAAATGAACATTGGAATTGATCTAGAAGTATTCAGCAAAGATCAAATAATGATACTGAATACGCACTATATTTCTTAGCATGATTTATCTTCATATTCTGTGCAATTGCCTCAAGTGTTCAAGTTAGAGTAACGAGATTTATTATCCATATTTTGTATTATAAACTGTAGTCGTGTTAGAGTGAATTAATGATATTGTATTGACTAAAATACTTCTCATTACTTTTGAATAACGATGAAAAAAAAAGTGAGAATAATTACTTTTTCGACATATTTTCTGACGAAGAACTATTTGCAATCTTCGGTTCGCTTTATTGTCAAGATTTCATGCATCTTGTGGACATTGGAAAACTATTCCTATCATAAAAAAAGAATTTTTACTGATGGTCTAACTTCGAGGAGATGAAACTTTTTTGTGAATTTTTCAATCTAAGATGCCAGGTTTGTAGCAAGATCATATTTTCGAAACTTGATATGAAACTTTGTCCACATAAAGAACTCAGTTAAGCTAGCTTGTTTAAAAAAAAATTCCAATTTATCCGACTGTTTTTCTGTGATATGAAGCTTTTAAAAGCTACATGCTATACATTTTTATCTATGTAAAAGGGTCTATACTTTGAAAGTTCCAAATCTTGGAGAGAATTCGTTCGAAAACTCTCGAAGTTTTTTATGTAAAGTAAACTGGTTAAGTTTTTACATGGACAAACTTACAAATAGAAATTCAACAGCATGGTCTTGCTCAAACTGTGTAATCCTATAGTAGAAGTTCACTACAAAAGTTCGATCTAGTGTCAGAAACAGGTTATATATACAAATTTTCTTTTCATAGTAGACACCGTTCACTGTGGTCAACAAGATGCATTAAGTTCAAACTGAAAAACGAATCGCCGCCTTCCGATGTTGTTTCATTACTTCGAAGAAGTCTTATTGCCGTATTGTTATTATCAAAAGTCAAAATTATTCTAATTGCATATGTGTTATTGTCGCCATTTTCTCTATTCTATAATTTGTTATTAATAAAAATAATATTTATCTCACTAATAGGCTTCATTTGAATTATAGAATTCATCTTTCTTTTTTCTTGAAAAATAAGTCCTTATAAGAGAAGAATTTATATGAAATGTTCATATTATTTTTTCATTAATTTTATTGTGTATATTAAGAAATATAGATCTCATTTAATGCTGTTTTACAATTTGAGAATAATTAATAAAATATGATTATGAAAATGGAAATTAGTAATAAAGGAAAACAAAAGCTATACAAGACAAAAAAAAAGCGCAAACAAAAGTTTGATAAAAGTAAGTTCTCATTGATTCGTACTAATTAAAAAAGTCAGTGGTTTTTCATAAACTTTGTTAGAATCACAGTTTTTTAATTGAGAAAAAGATCTGAATATCATAGTTATGATGAGAGTGCTTCAAATTGTTGTATAACACTTTTGATAGCTTGGATTTGAGACTAAAGAAAAATAAAATTTTTATTTTATTAAAAATTTAGCAAATTGAAATTTACTTTGGTATGTTTTATTTGAAGTTCAGTTAATTCAATTAAATTTTTACGAAACATTTGTACTCGTCGATTTTTAAAATCATTCAATTCTAAAATTTAAATAAACTCGTTATTTTTAATTAATTTAATATTAAAGGAAGTTCATATCTTACCATCTTTTGCTTTTTCTGAAATAGATTCAAATTTTATCTTTATATTTTGTTGAATTGTTTCTGTTTGTTGTATATCTTTATTTTTTTGTCGTGCACGATCTAAATTTTTATTAGCTGTCTCAAAATCAGCTAAACAACGCGAACGACGATACATTAAATCAAGTGCAGCTTTTGTATCACGCGTATAATATTTTAATGTATCTGTTAATTTAAGATCAATATCAGCTTGTATACGTATTTCAGATTTCTTGAAGTGAATATATTTTTTTTATAAGAATATATCGAATAAATCTAAATTCTTACTCGAGATTTTTCAAAAAAATCTGCCATTAAAATAAAGTATCTATATAAAGAACAAGGAAAGAAATTTACTTCAAAATAAATAAAAAAAAAAACAAAAGTTTTCTTTTTTACTTTAATAAATCATTTGTATCCGATATTGATAAAGTATTTAAATGACTTGATAATTTAATATATGTATCAGTAATACCTAGATATAATCGATTGAGATGAAAATATGTTAAAAGAATTTGTTTACTCTTCTGTGTTCGTGTTACTTTATCAGCAGCTGTTGTTGTATCTTTTATTTTGGTATTATATGTTAAAAGAAATTGTTTTTGGCGTTCGAAAAATTCATCACTTTCCTAAAAGAAAATTAAGTAGCTTCCTATTTCGTCGACATACTTGTTTCTGAACAATTATAGAATTTTGCTTTAAAAAAATTTTGTCTTGAAGAGAAAGACAAAATAAGCAGTAATGATAATACATGACGTTTTTAACATGAAGGCTACTATCAGTAGAACAGCCAGAAAAACGCTTTCAATTAGTAGATATGGGTGTTAATGCTTTGAGAAATGTGTAGGATGTACTAATCACTGAATATAAAAAGTTCGAAAAAAGTATCATGTGTTTTTCAAGAGACTATCCGATTCTGATTAAAAAATTTGATTGAGAATATCAAAGTACAGTTCATTCGAGTTGGGACATCTTGAATCGGACGGGCTCTAGTAGGTTTAAGAATTGGGTTTTTCTACTTCCATATGCACCCAAATGGGAATGTTGGCATCATCGACTTAATTCAAATACTTCTATGTCGAATAAAAACTTCGATGTAGTAATTGATGAAGTAAAGAGAGGTTTTATGTTCAACATGGCTACGATGAGACAACTTGACAATCATATGAACAAATCTTCACGACATAGAAATAATTATTTTTCGGATTCAACGAATTCTTAATTTAATAAACCTATATGAGAAAAGTTCGTTTGTCATTAGATGAATATTTTAACGAGATTAATACAAAATTACATTCATCTTTTGTTGCCATCATCTTATAAATCATTGAGTTATGTTCATATTTCTATTGTTACAATAAATTTCTCTCAGAAAACACTGTGTCGATAGAGCAGGAAAATTAATTAGTTTCTATTTTTCTATGAAATGGAACCAAACTAATTTACCTTTTGGTTAGCTAGGAATACTTCATCAGCTGTTTTTGTTAATGTTTTAAAGAAGCCACTGATTTGTTCTTTGGTATTTTTACCACGGACACTTAACTAAAAAATAGAAATTAAAAATAAATAAGTTTAAGGAATTAGTTAAAAGCATGTACATCATCTTTATATTCAAGAAATATACGAAAATTATTATCATTACGTAAAACTGGATGTGCAGCAAGACGTTGAAGAAATACTTCATGCATGGAAACAGTTTTTTTAAACATAGCCAAATATTCACTAAATTTTATTGAGATAAAACGAAGAATCAATATATAGAAAACATTACAAATAATTGTTGAAACTTACGCTTCCAGTTCTTGTTTCATTTTTTCATATTCTTCCCTTGTTAAAGAAGCTTCACTATCACTTAATTTTTGTAATTTAGAACGAGATGAATCAAAATCTGGTCGTGGTGGTGCTGGTGGAATCTAATTATATGTTTAATATTCAAAGAAAAATCAACTAAAGTGATGAAGTCTTTTTTTTCCTTTTAGGAAAGATAATTGTAAATAGAAGTAATTATTGGCACATAATCTAATACACTAGATACATAATATTTTATACTTCTAAAATAGTATAACAATATGATAGTCGAAGAATTCTATGATTGACCAGTAATATTGCTCAGTACAGTTTATCAACTTATAGCACACACAGATCGATTGCTTTTAGTCAATGTTAGCCGACACAGCTGATGTACGCTTAAGGTTACTTTCCTGCTTAGTATGCTAAAACTTTTTTTTATGTTATTATTGGTTTATTTTTACTATTGTATCATCTGAAGTGGCATCTATCTACTTAGTCTTTGCTGGGATCCAATAGTTATCTGTAAACGTTAAAAAATCAAATTAATAAAAACTACAATGTTTCCAGTTTTTCTCAAACCAACTTTTTCCTGAAAAAAAAGTTCAGAAACGTCCTCATTTCTCAGATCTAGTATGTCTAATCGAGCTGAAACTTTTTTCATAGATACTGTACACTTTTTGAAATCGGTATTTTTACCGATTCAAAATATATTCTTTTGCTGACGTTTGGTAGGTCTTATTCAAAAAGCTCTATTCAAAAAAATAGCAGGCATTCTTTTAGAGTACTTTTGATATTTTGACTTTTTCATTTGAAAGACAAAAACATATAAAGATACCTATCCTCAACAGTGTGTTGTGATTGTAAAAACATTTTCATCTCGATAGAACATAGCATCTCGATGAAATACAGCTGAAAATAAGGGCTTTTTTCAACATTTTGATCTCAATATCTCATAGAAAACAGCATCTAGGAACTTTGAGTCTACGTCTCGAAAAGGGGAGGAGTACCCTTACTGCAAAATTTCAATTACTAATGCATAAGACAATTGATTGCATTATAACGTATATAAAAAAATTCTTTAGAAAATATAAAAAACGATGATTAATTCCAAATCACATCTTTCATAAATTAAGAAAATAATCTATCAACACTCACAATCAAGCCCGCATATTCTTCATTCTCATTACACCGGTCATGTAACCATATGAATTCTTCATGTAAACGTGTGACACTAAATTCCGATTCTTGAAACATTGATGATGTAGTCTTGAAGAATAATTAAATAGAAATTTTCAAAAGATTAATACAAATATGTATATACTTTTGTATGAACAGTAAATTTAACTTTGTCCTTTTCACTAAGTGCATCCGAAATATCAATTCGAATATCATTATCAGTCAGATCCACTGTGTCAGTACGTGACTGTTAAATAGATTATAAATAAATCTCCATTGCATCCAAACAATTAATCCTACCCTTTTATCAAGTGTATCTGTACTCTTTTCCGGTGTCTAGAATTAAACAAGAAATTGAAGGTCAGCCTTATTTACTTTCTATTACTTACAAGCATTTTTATAACTTATTCAAAGAGAAAAAAATTGACTAAATTTATTTATCTAGAAAAAAGAATAAAATAAGAAAGGAAATTCAATGCGTTAATAGAAAAAATGATGTAAGCACAATAATTTTATTGTTGATGTATATTGTTTATAAAATGACTTGTAGTGCACATAGATCCAATGAGATTATTGAAGTTTGTTGTTGTTTTTTTTTTTTTACTTTTACAATAATCTAATTCTTTAAACATAGAATCCTGTCGAAATTAAGTATGTTAATCATTGAAATTCGATCAATAGAAAAAATTCTAAAAACATGAGAATGCCTTTGTATTGTTCAATCAAACTTACCTGAATTTTGGATGCAAACAAAACCATTTCTTTAGCTATTTATTCTAGTAAAACTGAATCATGTCAATGATCTCAAACAAAACTCAATAGTTTTATGGTTTAGTATCAATATGAATTTTCGTAAATATGATTTTCACAAGATCCTTCAACTATTCATTACTGTTACACATTAAAATGGCTTCTAGTTTTTCGAAATAATGATTGATCTATAGCAAAAGAAAATATTCATTTATATAATTTTGTTAAAAATACTAGTCTTACTTATTTTCATCGTTTAGTTTCATATTTGACTCGTGCCAGTCTATCAACTACAATGAATCGATAGGCCAATACATATATCAAGAAAAGCAAAGCATGAAAACTGATAACACGTTGAGAATCTTTCTTTTTGTATAAGTATAAATGTCACTTTAAATAATAATAGATGAATAGCTCTTGATAGAAAAAAAATGTTTCGAATGCAAATTTGTCACTGATCACGTTCGTCATCCAATATGTGATTCATACTACAACAATATTGTTATGAATCATAGATTTTCTATTTATGATTGCACGTTGTATTAAGTACGTGACAACAACGATTAACTACCAAGACATATCTACGTCGTTTGTGCACCGAAATTATTTATACATCAATGTTGTTGTGTTTCCGAATGAGAATAAACAGTCCAAACACGAAATATTAATAACCATGAGATGAACTTTGATGTCCATCTAATATTACTGATATTAACTTGCAAAATGAAATTTTTATATTAACCATGTGTTCAACTTAATATAATGAAGAATTATGTTGAACAAAAAAAGAAGAAAGTATGATTGATAATGGTGAACAATTTATCTAGAATTTATTAAATCTACATTTATTTACTTCGAGAAAATTCCTAAAAGTATTTCATTCATATTCAATTTTATTTTTTATACAGACTTTTAAACTTTTCGTATGGATAAATTCTTGTAAATTTGTCATATCTCAATCAAAAACAAAACCCATTAAAACAATTTTCGCTTATTTTTCAATAAACATTTCTCAGAAAATAACATTTAAAAAATGAATGACTGAATTACCTCTCTTTTAATTTGATATACGATGAGACTATATTTTACAATAATAAAATAGATCAATATTCACGAATGAAAAACTGGTTGTTTTTTCAAGTCTATGAAGTTAGTCGAAATAAAGAAAAAAAACACGTTTTTCCTTATAAATAAAGTGATAACATATATTGGTTCTCAATGATATTTTTTCTTTTATTCAAATAATAGAGAAACCAACAAAGCAAATACACAAAAACAATGTGTTTACATAATTTTTGTAATAATATATTTCGTCGTTGCTCTTGTTTGACTTGTTTATTCTTTTTCTTCGGCACGTAGACGTGCATTTGGATTAGTTACCTTAATAGCTAATTGTTGTGCACGTTCAATAATTTTCTTACGATTTGGTGCAGATACTGAATGAGCTATTTCAGCAGCAAATTTACGATTCTGCATTAATAACATTTCTAATTCCTAATAATTAAACATAAAATCTATATAATAGAAATTTATTTTTTTTTTTAAATAATCTACCTTAACATTGTTAACAAGAAATGCACGGAAACCATCTGGACGCATATGACGTGTGCGTTTATCAGAACCGTACCCAATTGATGGCATTAAATAAACACCCTTAAAACGTCGACGAACACGATTGTCAATACCACGTGGTTTACGCCAGTTTGGCTAATATATTTTAAATTAATAAAAAATAAAAATAAAAAATATCTAAAGAAAAAATAACATACACGTAGACGGACATAACGATCACTTTGATGACGAATAAATTTTTTTGTACGTTTTTTAAGAATTTTTCCTTTAACCAACGGACGTAACTTAGTCGATGTCGGAGCCATCAGTTTAATAAATTATGATCTAAAATCATTCAATGTTTGATAGATTCTATTTTAATTTTTGTTTTTTTTTTTTTTTTAGTTTTTTTTTCCAACTTCGGATTGAAAAATAAGAATGTAGAGATTTATGTTTCGGCAATTTATATATGTTTTTATTCGGGCCGAATACTATTTGTTGTTATCATCAATAGAAATTTTTTTCTTCGAAGTTTTTTTCTTATAAAAACAAACGAAAATGACGATAACACAATTGTTGTTTATTTTATTTCGTTTATTGTTGATCAGCATTACCGGGTCCACCACGGTTATTATCTCGAAATCCACGTCCTCGACCATAACCTCCACGCTAAAGAACAAAACACAACAATATATACAATTGTTTTTTCTTCAAAAAATTTAAACTTACAAATTCAGGTCGAGCAGATCCAGCACCAACTTCACCTTGTTTGTCGTATCCAGTACGACGGTATTCTTGTCGACTTTGATCAGTTGGTGATGATGGTCGAGCTGTATCAACTGAAATATTTTCGAACAATTTAAGCTGGCTATAGTTTGAAATGGTCGAAAAAAAATTCATACCTCGTTTAGCTGTTTTAGCACCTTCAGGTCTTGTCGGTCGTTTGAGTGTAGCCGGTACAATTTCAGGTGGTAAATTAAGATATTCACGTAAGAAATTGGTACCTTCATTATTTAAATACCAATAATAATGACGCCATGCAAATTGTTCTTTAACCAAGTTACGTGATTTAAGCGACTAAAAAAAAAAGTCATGCGAAAAGTTTATTTGTTTGTTCTTTGTCTGTAATAAATAAAATAAATCGAACAAACTTGAAGTGCTTTGATAACATGAATATTTGGTACTGGAATGGCTGGATGTTTATCGAGACCAAAATCTTTTTCCGCAACAACAACACCTTCTTTCATTAGATACTCGTAGATGAGTGTACGATGTTTTTTGGGCATCAACATTTTCAGGCCCTTTTTTGAATCTTGTTTTAATAAAAAAATCTAACGAGATCTGAAATAGATTTATGAAAAAAAATTAAGCAAAAGGAAATAAAAAAAATTCATTTATCAAATACTAGCAATAATGTTTATTGATGTATGAGTGGATTTTATTGGATTGAATAAAGTAAAAAATGGACTGTTAGGTGAACATCTCAAAAAAAGTTTTTATAAAAATTTTCAAAACTTAAAAGTTTTTAGTTTCAAAAACAAAATTTCTTATATTTATTAGAGAATAAACATTAAATATATCTATCTTCGAAAAAATATCTTCCATATATCATTCATATTCCAGTGACATCTATGGACAAAGGTCTTGTTAACAATTTGATGTTGCAAGACGCAAATTTATAATCTTAAATCTTAAAAAGTCGTACAAATATTTTATTATAGAGTTCAATGTGTATCTGACTATAAGAATCTTGCAAACCTGTTGATTGAAATCTTTCAAGATTTTATACAATCTTATGAGAGTCTAATTTTAGATCTCATTTATACAGCTAGTTTTGATAACACTAGTTTTATATATTTAAATCAATATTTAATCAATTAAATACGTTCCAATATAGACGTAACTTTTTTAGAGTTGAAAATACTTCATTGATGTAGTTGATCTGAACTGCTAAAAAAAACATTCTACAGAGATTTTAATCAATTTGATTAAATAGAAGTAGATTTCTTTTTATTTAAATTTTTTATCTTAGATCATTTAAACGATTAAATTCAATACTGATAATTTTTTAAAAGTTTTCCAGCACATTTATATTTTTTTTTCATTTTGTCTTTGTAATTTTTATAAATAAATATACCCGTGCAAGGTAACACAAAAGATTTTCCTATAGAAAACAAGATGATAGAAGAGAAAACACAAGAAAATTCAATATACATTCTTGTGAGAAGCTCTACAAAATCATACATAAATCCGATAAGACTTGCCATCAAGATCATACAAAATCGTACAGTAAAATTTATTAGAAAAGCTGGCTTGAAGATTTACATATAAAATCATATAATACTGTATGCAATTTTCATACGGTTTTGTTTGATCACAAAAGATCATGCAATAAGTTTTTATGATGATCTTCTATAAGAATCTTACAAGACCTTGTAATATATCTATTTGACATATGTAAATCACTTTATATACTATCCTGGTTTAATAATTTGATCTTCATTATTATTTCACATGGTCATGATTTAATAGGAGAGAAATTTATATTAATAATTTACATTGATACATATTTTTTGTGGAATTTCTCTTTGAATTTTTCTATTGTTAAAAATAAGAAAAAGTTAGTATCATGACAGTTTGAAATATGAAGCAAGCGGATATGTTTTTTTTTTGCTTCTCATCAGAAGTAAGTCTTATGCATCCTAATCTTTCAGTTCAATGATTTCCAGAACCTTCTAGTTAACTTTAATTCGAAGTCATTCACTGGATGTATGCATTGTACTCCTTCTTTTGATGATTGTTTAATCAAATTAATTGATACATGAATGATTTCTTTGAAGAAAAAACATGTCATTTTGTATGATTCATGTTTGATCATAATTTTCAAATGACTTGTACCTTGACCAGGCAAAAAAAAAAACTTGTGATGCTTTATTTTCTTATGTAATACAGGTATAACAACACATAGAAAAAAGAATGCAAAAAAAGCTCTTCACATTAACAACGTCTTCTATCGTTATTAACTAAGAGCGAAGTAATACGTCGACTGTCAGTTTTTTTTTCAAAATAAATTTGTTCAATTATAATACTCTGTTTAAAAAGATACAGTAAAACATAAAAACAATACCTAACATATATAACGCATGTCATACTTCTATTGTGAATCTAATATATCGATGCTTAGTCTTTCAATGAATTTCTTATATTAGTGATTGTAGTAGATAGAAGACCATCTTTTAATAGATGAAATCATTTAATCACTAATTTCTTTCCTTTCATAATTAATGTCTCACTGACATAGTAAATTTTTTCTATGATTATATTTATTGACACCTTTCTATATCTCTTTCGAATAATTATAAACTGCATAATCCTATGATTTATCTAGTGCAGTATTTATATTATTCGTTTAAATGACCTTTTTTACTAATTGAATAATATGATGACTATATATGATTATTTATATTAAGTCTTATACAAATGCATGCATAGTTTTGTCAAAAACAAATGATATACGATTTATAATATGTCATATGTAGAAATGAGCATCAAAAATTGCTACAAGTCGACCTCATATTAGTGTGTCCCATAATGGCGCAAACGTTCTATTGCCTATAATATAATATAACTTTGTCCAGGTAAATAAATAAATGATAATTTGAGTGATATATCTTTATTTTGAAACATCATAATGAAGCAACCAACTACAATGATTTAAAATGCAACGATATAAATGATTTCATGTACAGCAATAATAGCAAAAAAGAAATAAAAAACAAAAAAAAAAAATGCAATCTTAATTACAAGAATCAAAATAAATCAAATGTACAAGAAGCAAAAATAATACTTGAAAATTACAAAAAAAAGGAAAAGAAAAAGAAATAATTACAGCAGCTACAAAGAAATGAATTTAAAAAGCAAGTTTATTTTTGAAACTAACTTTATTTACATTTTTCATTCAGTAATACTTTGACGTAGAATTGTCGTTTTTTGACGAAGTGTCTCACCATCTTCAATTTGAGCAGCATCCTCACTATCATTATCATTGACACTATCATCATTATTATCATCATTTGCATCATTATTATCATCATCATCATCATCATCATTTTCATCATCATCATCAGCTGCATCGAGCGAATCTTGAATCAGTTGTGAAACACGTCGATTGAATTCAATTCGATTATCTCGATAAAGTAAAGCAGCTTCTAAATTTGCTGGACTCAGTGGATTTGGGTCAATAAGAAGTAAACGAATTGAATGAAGTATCGACAAAACATCATAAGATGGTGTCCAACCATCTTTCAATATATCAACGCAAATAAGTCCATCTTCCCACCAAACATTTGGATGAAAAACTTTGGTTATGAAACGAACTTGTGGTGGTCGATGTGGATAATCGTCTGGAAAAGTTAGTTGAAGTTGAAATGCACCAGATTCATAAACACTCTCTTCAGGTCCACAAATAATAGCATTCCATACAAAAAAATTGTCAGATGATGGACTAGCATTGATACCTTCCACTTTATTTTTTAGTAATTGTCGAAAATCTTGTTGTAATCTTCGAATAGCCATTGATAATGATTTAGATGGAAAAGAAAAGGTGAGTAGTGAAACAAAAAATATTTTATCTAGAAAATAAATGAGAAACAAATAGTATCATTGTCATCATTTAAAAAAGCAACATATGAAAGCAATGATAAATGATAATTAATTCCTAAAGAAATAAAACAATAGAAAAAAGAAATGAATTCATTTCATATGTAGAAAGATCTTCATATTTTATGTACGAGTGTCGACAGTATGCCTGAAAATTAAATTCAGTTTGATAATTTTCATAGTCTTATCCTAATAAAATGGAAACATATTGATAACAAAAAAGAACAAACATTATTAGAAAACTTACGTGTCGATCATGATTATCATGAAGATTAATCTTGTTGTATTTGTGAATTGCAGCGATTTATGTTCAGTGGATTTATATGTAAAAATAAAATATTTTTAACTATATTGTATATCCTTTAAGTGAAACTATTTGATATAATATTATTTGCTGGAATACAGTTCTTATTGAAAATATTAAGCACATAGTGGAACCTCCCACTGTAAATATTTTTGAAAGTTTCAGTTATCGTTTTTTGCTAGAAATGAACTCTTTTATAGTGGACAACGTCGTATAGCTCTATGATAGATAATTCTGAAAAGTCCAAATGGTATCCTTAACAAAGAGATTTTACTATATTTTAATAGTTACTAATTTTCAAGAACCAAAATTCATAAAACAAAAAGTAACTATGATCAATAGCTAATCACTTTATTCAACAATACCCTTCAGATACCTAGAAAACACGTTCAGTTCCTTATAAAAAGCTTTAGTTTTAGAAAGAAACTAGTCTCTTTATGATGGACACCTTTTGAAAAGTTCAAAGTGTCTCCACTATAGCGAGTTTCTTGTGCATTGATAATTCATTCTTAAGATATATTGTTCTCAATAATTTTTATCATGCCTATTTATGAGTTGAATATATACTAACGTCACATTATGAAGTCACTGAGTGACTGATGGATGACCTTGATTAATTTCCTATTGTTAAAGAGAAAACAACAAATATGAAGTATACTATTTTAGGTTTATATTCATAGCACATGTGAGCAGAATCCGAACTCAATGAAGCAAGAGTTTTATTTTTTAATGAGTTCCGTTTTCTGATAAAAATATAACTCTTCCATTTTTTTATCCGTGCTTCCTTCTTTTTCTCCTCCCTCCTCTCTCCATGTATATCTATCGACAATAAGAAAATGCATTAAAACCTAGTAGACAAACAGATATTAAATAGCAAGTGCTAACAAACTGAGAATGTCAGAAAATTTACAAAGAGAAGATGATTATCAATAGACTAGCTTAATCTATCATTTATATCATTAAATTTATTGTTTCTTTTAGAATTTGAAAAAACCATGAGCTCATCATGTCGTACATTGATTATTAATACTATTCTACTTCTTCTTATTGTTCAAATCCATGGTGATTATTGGATATGCGATTGGGTAAATGGTCGTGGATGGATGTATTGTTCACGTGGGTATTGTAATATATATGGAAAAAAACGAAGCATTTCTACGGATGATGAACAAAGAGGTCCTATACAAAATAATGATGGTACTTATTGCTTAAATGAAGAATTATGCTATACATGTGAACCAATTAATGATTATACTTGCCGTATTAGTGTAAAAACACAAGATTCTCTCACAAACAAACCATATTTACACAACAAAAGATCATACGAAGATATTTGTCAATAAAAAAAAAAATTTACTATTGGAATGTATTTTTTCACTGTTGTCTTTGTTGTACGAAAGAATCTAACAGACAAAATAAAAACATCTTCTTACTTTATTATTGATAATTGATGAATGAACTTGAAGATATTCATTTTCACCATCCATTAACCATGATTTTAAAATAAACAGTATTGAAATATATTTCTAAATTGTTCCTATAAATATCAAAATTGAGAATAAATAGAGTAATGGCAATTTCGTTCCCCATATGTATCTGATATTGATCAAAAGGATTGATAATAATTTTTGCTTGAATAAATGTATGTTAACGGCATTATTAACCTATACCAATTTAGCTTTCTAAATAAGCATACATGCACATGCTTACTTATTTTATACCCCTCTTGTATGTATGTGTACATGTGATATTTAATCATGATGAGCAATTACATAGTTTACATTCCAATCAGTCATGTCACAAGATAGTCAAAACAAATCAGATCCAATGCTATAAAGATGTAGGAGTTTAGGTAATTTCGTCGTTTATTTTGTCATATTTTCGTAATAAAAATGTGATAAAAAATAAAAAAATAAAGACAGAAAATTACCAAGGGAGAATGATAGGTATGCAATACTAATAGCTCCTAATATCCATATTCACAATTGTGTTTTTTTCTCTTGCATAATCAATGAGACGAAGCTGCAAAAGTAAAAAGAAAACAAAACATCATAACAAAGCAACAGGTATATGCTATTATTTTGGAGTAGAATGCAATCATAAAAAAAACGTCGCTAATTTTGTGAATAAGAGTATCAAAATCATAATTTAGTATGTGTTAAATGTTCAATAAAATCTATCAAATTTAACAAATAATTACTTGGAATTATAGAAGAGAAAATTTAGGATAAACTTCAAGATAAACATTTTCTTTTTCACAGCATTTGACATATGGTTTCAACATGTAGAATTTATTCATAAGAGTAAATTATTCAGTCTTGTCATTGAAAGTAAAATACAATCAATCAATCAATCAACATGCAACAAAAAATGCTATTTAAAGCAATTCTGTGATAAGATTCGAGTCATGGGTGCTTTTCACTTAGTGCATCTATATATTGGCATGCCTACACACATTTTTTGATAATAATTATTCATCTACCTTTCGCTTAAGAAAAAAGTCATGTGAATATTTTTAAGGCGCAAATATTATTCATCACTAAGGATAAAAATACCCTGTTTTTATTTTATCTGTTAATGGAAATTCAAGTCACGGTTGATCTGTTATTTTTAAATAGAATGTAATTACGTAGAAAGAAGAAATTATGTTCGACTCTTTACACCTCATCTTAATTGGTAAAAGAAAACATTACATTATGTCATTGTTTCATTCATATCAACATGCTTATTGCTATAACTTATGATTGATCATTTATTATTATTGAATTTCTTTTTTTTTGTTTTTATTAAATAATAATGAATACAGTAAAAGGTCATAAGTATATCTGTTTTGTCTTCTTATATCATTCTTTCATAGATTATGGCAAAACAATTTAAAAAAAAATGTAGAATACATGTCATTTTTCGTTTTTTTTGATAAACAAATCCAACTTATAAAACTGAATAAAATCCAAAAATTAAACTTCACTACTGTCCAATGTTGGTGTTATTTTTCTTGGTAATTCTTCTTGTCGTTTCTTTTCATAATTTGCAATTAAAAGACGTACAACCTCTACTGCAAGAAAAACTGGTCCATTATAGTATATTATCTCAAGAATTAATACACCATCTTGCATAAGAAAATCTTTTGTGAATTCTTCTAATAAATTTTCATTAATAAATGATTTCGATGAACTTATTCGATACAAATTTCGTATAAAACTAATTCGACTACGTAGAAGTATCGTATCATATAATGTAAAAAGAAATGAAAATAAATTTGATATAAATACATAAACAAACCAAAACCAAGCAAGTGAAAAAAGTTTTTCATTAAGCATATTTATCGGTAACACACATTGAACTGTATAACGATGAAGATTACCAACTTCGCGTATACGTAAATCACATAAAGTTACACGAGGAAAATAAGGTGAATCTGTTAGAACAGAATTTCTAACGAATACACTATACCATACATCAAAACCATAAAACCAACCTGGTTGACCCAAAACCATATGAATAACTATTAATTGAATAAAAGAATTAATTAAATAGAGAAATTTAACCATCAAATAAATTGAACGAAGATAATTTCCTAAACGTTTACCACTCGTACAACATATAGTCCGACAAAATCGACTACCAAATCGATCATCATGTTCATTTGGTTGACAATAACATTCAATAGATTGAACAATTGTATCTTTGTTACTTTTCGATATAAGATATTGCAGATCAATACCTGATCGAGTATTCATTGAACGCCAAAGCATACGTGGAAGATAGAAAAATAATGCAAATAAAAGAAAAATAAATGGTGCCCATTGATAATAACCAATTTCAGCACGTTCTCGAACATATTTACTGTGTGGAACTGTTGTATTACTTGGTATATAATATGTATTTGAAACCCAACAATAATTATTTGTATATTTTGAATAAGCACCAACAAATTGAGCTGGTACCCAACATGTTATTCGTTCGAAAGCTAATGGTGCACCCGTTAGAATAGTTACACAAACAAGTAAAAGGCCTACGGTATAACGATGATTAAGTCGATCAGAGTGTACATCGTCGTTTGGTGCTTTTAATGACTTAATCCATGGAAGTCCTTGTGCATTAGTGAATAGTTTAATTGACATGGATGTTTAAAATTAATAACCTAGAAAAGATATATATATATAACATGAATAGTGACTTTCAAACAAATGATGATCACTAAAAACAATAATTATTTTTCAAGGAGAAGCTTTCATTGGATTTTTATTGCGGTTTTTACCTGTCAGCTAGCTTTTGATATACGTATCTGCGTTCTTACAAAGGAAAAAAAATTAAATAGCTGTAGAGAGTAGATTTTATTTTTTTTTTCGTTAGAAATTTTTAGTATGTGACACATCTTTATTTTCTTTTCTTCTTTTTTATTCTTCTAAAGTATATTTATTCAAATACCTATATTGGCCTTGTCTGTTACTTTCTGTTTTTAATTCTTATCTTTTTCTCTGTCTCGGTATATCATTATAGACAATTGTATTTGACTAAAAAAATATACTGCAATAGAGCATAAGAACGACAAAAAAAAAATAACGATAGATTCATGTTAGTCGATTAGCTGTAATGTATAAAGATAAATTTTTAAATTTGCACAAGCAAAAAGAAGAAAAAGCCAAGGATTGAAAAGAACTTGATTGGCATTTTTCTAAAAGACGAGTTTCGAATTTCGTTTGTGAATATAAAGAAAAGAAAGGAAATCATATGATTCACATGTATGCATTGGAAATCAAATCCAGATAATGACATTTGTTTTTAGTCTATAAAAATACTAATGAAAAAAAAAAGCTTTATCGAACCTACTCCTACTATTGTTTTGAGTTGTTAATCTGATTTACTGATGATTAGCTCGCCTTAAAACAGATACTCATATAATGATTAATCATTAATATATTTCAGGCGTAATAATCATATTTGAACTGTTAATTGTACGTAATTAATAAAATGTTGTTTACGACTATTTATTGTTGCTGTCACATATTGACGAAAGAGGTGTACTAATCTAAAATAAAAATCAATTGAATAACATGTATGGATAAGATATCTAGACGTACATACTTCATTGCGGCATGGGACCATGAAAAATCAAAGTAAATGTCAGTACGTGTTGTAACTCAATATAAGTAGTGCTAAACAAAACAAACAATCAATCGAGAGCATAAGTTATATTATAAATAATAAATTTCTTTATTTAACCTACAACCAAATATATCATTTTGTGAATATTTTCATAAAGATTTACAAATAAATTTTCATATCTTCTTCTTTTACATTAATGTTATAGATTAATGTTTGATAGTAAATGGATCGAGATATAAGCGATGCATTTTGTTCAATTTTGGCAAAATAATCTAGTGACGTTTTGGAAATGACTTCTATTTAGTAATTGAAAAACTAATATGTGAAAATGACTATATGCCATGATGTTATTGATCACAGAAATAAAAAAAGACAAGTAATAACTTGTTTATTCATTGGATGAAATTCTTCTTAAAGCACGATACGTGATATTTATATAATAAATGGCATCATAAGCAGCAAAAGTGTTGAATGTACCCATACAATAATTGAAAATTATTTTTTATTACCCAGTAAAACTGCCAAAACTTTTTGTATTTTTTATTACCTCTATGAAACGTTCTCTTGGGTTGCTTGTGGGATCACTAAAAAGTACATTCATATTTTCATTTCTTTACAAAGCTATATGCATTTTTCTTTTTCATCATCTGATGTCTATTTATCGTAACCGAAACTTCCAATGTATTTATAAAGTTTAAAATTGTATTCTTATCTGTTATCAATGTGGTATTACTTCGTTAAACTAAGGAGATAATTTTTTTATCAAGCTACTTGTATTACAATGACTTAAAAAGGTCATACTTTTGTTACCTTCTTATGATGCATTGAAGTATTTGTCGATTTCTTTTTTTGAAGTCAATATGATCATTGATACAATAACTGCATATCCATCAAATATAGAATGGGATTCACAGAGTAATAATTAACAAAAATAAATGAAATGGAAATTCTTATTTTATCTGAATATTTAATGCTTTTACTCATCCAAACGGCAAATGCATGTATCTGAGTATTAGATCCAACTGCTACATTTTTAATTTTTATTGTTATGTGTGTAGACTTAAATGGGTAGCAATTGATTTAGAAATAAATGAAGCACATCGAATTATCTTATTTGATACATGTCTAGCAGAACAAGGATCTTATTATAATAAAAGCTACATTTCATGCTGAGTACGCATAATCGAATGATTGAAATTTTATTGAAGCATTGATTGCAGTTGACCTTAATCAT